TAGCAGAAACAAAGTTCCTCACAGAAACACCCCTGCAGAGTACATGGCTAGCCCGGAGTGATTCACTATGGCGTCACTGGAGACATCGGAAGCCCAGGGCTGAGATGGTGCCAGTTCATGCCTTTTCAGTGAGAAAGCATTCAGGTTACAAGGAGTGTTAATCTGGCCACAAAATGGGAGGCGGCTAAGTCTGCCTGGAATGTCTGGCTGCTGGTTGGCAGACGCAGCCCTTTCTTCACCTTGGATCTGCTGGGCTAAGGATGCTTTCATAGTAATTTTCCAATGTCTTCCTTGATCAGTAGACTGCAGCATTTTATCATTTTGCAGATTTTGTTTTCTTCATGGGTTATTACTTCCACTGAACTGCACTTAACATCTATTAGCTTAGGTCCCCAGAAGATCAAAGTCCCTCTGTATCTGATTATTCTGCTCTTTGCAATTTGTGTCGCCCTCCTCTCCTTGCCCCTCCCCACCCATCCAGAGGCCTTACACGTTTACAGATTTGGTTTCAGGGTTTCCTCCTAAACCATTTATAGACATAAAAGCATCATAAAGAGGACATTGTGCCTCTAGAAAGAAAATGAAACAGAAAAGTGAAGACAGCAATAGTAATTCTTGTATCATTTCTGTCTCAATATGAATCTTTTAAAACTCATGTTTAAATATTTTTTTTAAATGGGATGAGCAAGGGAGAGAGAGAAAGGTGCTAATGTCAAGAATTATGCTAATGTTGTAGAAGCAAAATTTCTGTTGACATTACTTCTCTCTATTAGATTTCTTACTCTCTTTTGCTTCCAAAACTTTGGCCTGTCTTCCCACATTTTAGTTAAAAACATTCACGTTGTCTTTTGGGGGAACCTGTACACAGGGCCAACATTCCATTCATTTTATGGTTTACTATTAACCTTAATGACTAGGTTCTGATGGAGGATTTTATTTCCTTTCTGAGCCTTTAGTAAATAATGATCATCCTCTAATTTTGGTCTCAGCTGTGATGTACCAAAGATCCTCTGTCAAAGGTTGACCAGTCTCAACAATAGACCAGAGCCGGCTGGGTCAGAGCATTTGCACCAGCCCTAGAAGGAATATTTTTAGAAGCTATGTAAGAGGCCCAGTGTACTCTATTGGCAGACATGAAGTGGGTGCTTGTGAGTTAAGACAGGTATTAGAGACTCAACTAAGTCTGGCAGCTGAAAAAAATTAAGGAGATTTGAATCTGAAGAGATTATTAAAATAAAGACCTAGAGCCTTTTTTGCAAGGATATTTGCCTGTCAGAAATACTCAACACTGCTCATGGTGAATAAAAGAAGTGAGAGAGAGAGAGAGAAAGAGAGGGAGAGAAAGAGAGAGAGAGAGAGGAGAGAAGTTCTCAAATGTGAACCTCTATACAGACCACCTGGGAATCTTGTTAAAATGAAGACTATGCAAAGGTGTAGCATGGAACCTGAGAGTCTAAAATGTTCCTAGCAATTCAGATGCTGCTGGTCCTGGGACCACACACAGAGTTAGTGTTTCTGGGTGTCTTAACTGGGAAAGGTCCCCTCCCTCCATTTGGCACATCTCATCCTCTTGGGAGACATCGGTCTCTGAGGAAGGATAATGAAGGGCTCTTGAGCAATGGTTCTTAAACCTGATTGCCTACTATAATTTTCTGGGACCTTCTAAATCTCCTTGGCCATGCCCTATGTCAATTAAATCAGAATTCCTCACAATGGGACCCAGGAATCAGTATTTTTTTTTAATTATGCAGAATGTATAGCCATGTTTGAGACTAATACCTTAAATAAAAATATTAATCCAGCTAAAAACAACAGACAACATGTGTTGGCTGCTTCCATACAAGTACCTGGCATTGTAATGAGCATATTCATTTCTTTTTCATTGCATTGAATCATCACAATAAATTCCATTTGCACACCAGAAAAATTAGGCAGTGATTATGTAACTTGCCCCCAGGCAACAGCTGGTGGAGCTGATATTAGTAGAAAACAGAAAGAGCAGTATCTTGCAGGTTAGAGCACACACTGAAGGAGTAGAGAACTTGCTGGTTAATCATGTCTGTGTGCACATCCCAGGTTTCTTTTATGGTATGTTTGATTTTAACTAACAGCTGGTATTGGAATTTTAAAAATTCAATCCCCCTGGCTTGTTCCACTGCTACCCTCAAAGACCTAATACTACCTGCACTAATCGTTCATTGGCTTTTCTTACATTGGCATGCTTAAGGCCCTGACTCTAGAACTAATTGTGTTTCATTGCTGCTGGCTCCTGGGGCAGACATGACTCCAGGTAGCCTCTCCTTTGTCTCATTTCAGATTCCTTTGGCCTCTCTCGCCCCTAATTGAGCAGCAGAGGGAGCTATGACTACCAGGAAAAACAGCCTGTGAACTACCCCTAAATAGATATGATTTTCATGTTCTTTCCTGAAAGAAATTTTTCTGAATAGCTGTTTGCCCCAAGGCTGATGCTTACTGCCCCAAGCCCCAAACACTGGACAAATAGTTGGTCTAGGCACACTGAAAGCAAAGAAATAAAAAATCAGCAGGCTGCCATTGGACCCAAAGATGCAGAGAAAATGCAGAGGGGCCACAGGGAGTCAAGCCCACTTCAGACAGCTGCCAAAGAGAGTAAATTGCATCTTCCTGGATGATGTTTCTCATTCAGAAAAGGATAAGCCACTATACCAAAATGTGTAAAATATACACCTGAACTCCCTTTTGTAATGCTGGTTACTGACTTGAATGGAAATTTTCACATCTGCCCTCAGTTTTCTCAATTTTAAGTGTCCTTATGTCATGTCAACAAATGTTTATTTAACTTAAGTTGAAACTATTACAGGACATAGGGTTGAGTGAAGACTCAGGAATTCCCAAGACATTATTTCCAGAGCCTAAGAATTTAAGAAAACTTTTTAAAAATCCTAAAGAATGAGAAAGAGAGGCAGGGAGGGAGGGAAGGAGAGAGAGAGAGAGAGAGAGAGAGAGAGAGAGAGAGCCTCTTTCAATTCACTCTAAAGCAGGATGACAATTTACCCTGAACTATGAATTCAGAGATGCCGTTTCCCAAGCTGGAGATTTTCAGAATTGCCACCGTTTAATACCTTGTACAGGGATGTTCTCTAAAGAGATCAGGGTATGTTGCTATAACCTCACTGGGATGCCTTCATGCCTCAATATGACTGGGAGTTGAATATACCAACTTATCCCATAAGAAACCCTGACTTTCCCACTGACTCCAAACCATGCCCTACAAACATTCCCTCTCCCTCCTCAATGTTGATGTAGAAAACCACAAGAAATGGAGCCTTTTGCTTTCAAAAGGTTTTGGCGACCATGATGCTGAAAGCCTCTAACTCGCTGCCGTGGTGAAACTCTTGGACAACTGCTATTGTGAGCTTCATGGAGAGTGGGGTAGCAAATTGTCTCCATGATGGACTTTCAGAGTATGAGCTACATGGCTTTGAGTCACTGGAGCAAGGGCTAGCAGTGTGAAGTGGAAATAGATTCAGTGCTTATTAACCTTAATTGCACTTACTGCACTGTTCACAAATGTGTCTCAATCATGCGTGAGGTGGCTTCTCTCTTCTCTGGCGAGCACTCAAACTATTAAAGGAGCTGGGCTATTGCATTGCAAACAGACAGATTAGTAGTGGCATAAATGCATGCAAAAATACACAGACAGGGCTTGGCTCTGTGGTTGGAGCTTCCCTGGTAATTCTCCAATGACCTTGAAAGTGACTTGCCAGTTCACTTAAACCAGCTAAAGAGTCTGCTTCTCCTCACTCAGCTCCATTGGACTCCTTGCATCACTTTGTGTGGGGTTACATACTCCACTTTTGCTCTGCTGAATGTAACTGGGGTCCTGGACCAGACTGGGACTGTGCAGACACTCAGACTCTTCTCTCCAGGAAAATAATTCATTGGAAAAAAAGAGGAAGTGGAAATCTTCCTAAAGAAGCTGACTTTTAAAAGAGATTTGTGTTTTCTTTTTGAGTCTCAGTGACTACAGAGTCTGCATAATGATGTGAACACAAAGCAATAGCAGCTTGAGAGCTTTCCTTGCCATAGCCCAATGTAAACCCACTATTTGCGTGATGACAGCCTAAAGAGGAGAGGGTGCTGGGTGGTCAGACCTGGAAGCCATTCTTCCTATCTCGGACTACAGACTGTATTTCTACATGTTTTGTTTTCAGGTTGAAGAAAAAGTGGTGGGCAGTTTTCCCTAATGTCCTAATATGCTGCCTGGGGCCCGTAAGCATGAATAATAACTCTCGTTAAATCATAATCTGAAAAGGAAAATTGAGAACTTATTCAAATTGTATGGAGAAAACACAGGAACACACTTCCTGCTCCCTTGTCTTAAGCAGAAGCAAAATATTTCCAGGGATGCTTGGAGGGCCCTGGTACATGGAGAGGCCACCCCACATGAGAATTGGGAGTGCTGCTCTGATTCCTGTGTCCCAAAATGCTGGACCCATATTCCCTTTCAAGGGCACTACACAGCATGCAATTTAATTTTGGCTTCCTTGACTTAGTCTCTTATCACCACACTCCAAATAGTAAGTAAGTCAAAAGGGTTACAGACAATATAGGTTTCTTCAAAAATTGGCTCCCTTCCATGTTTTCAGATATATCTTTCTCTCTTGTTGCTTTGACCAAGGGCTTTTTATTCAGGTAAAGAAATAAGATTTTCCTATGATTTAGCTTTGGGGGTGGACAGGATTTTCACCCATTGAACAGCAACAACAGCAACAAAAAACCTACTCGAATTTGAAGCAAAATCCCAAGTGAGGGCTGTTCTTCCAAAGTATCAGTTCCAGCCTAATCTTTGACTCTCCAGTTCTAGAAAAATGGTTCACTCCCTGTAATAGTTACCTTTTTGTCACAGTGATCACAATATCTGACAGAAGCAACTTAAAGGAGTGAAGATTAATTTTGACTCAGAGTTTCTGATGGTTTAGCCCGTGGTTGCTTGATCCCATGCACTTGGGCGAAACATCATGGCTCCAGGATCATGTGGCAGAGGAAGTTCTTCATCTCATGGTGGACAGGAAGACGAGGAAAGGGAATGTAAGTAGGAGTTAGGGTAAGATATAGGTCTCAAAGACATGGTTTCAGGGACTTACTTCCTCTGGTGAGGCCACACCTCCCAAGAGACCCACAATCTCCTAAAATATCACCACTGCCTAGGGACCAAGTGTTTAAAACATGAGCCTGTAGGGGAATGTGTTAGATACAAACCCTCCCTTGATACAAACACTCCCTTGATTCTGGATGGTGCTCTGTTTTACAGGTGAGACAGATGCTGCTGATTTACTCACTCAGCACCTATCCTCAGTCCCTTGCTTTCTTTCCCTCTTCCACCATAGAAGCAGGAAGAGCTTGGTGATGTTTTCCCACTCTCATTCCCAGTTTGCTTTGACCCTGCTCATGGGGTATGATTTTGTCCATGACAGTCCAACACAGTCATGCTACTGCTTATAGGAACATATTTTCTTTCTGGCAAAAGACAGAAATGATGCTGGTACCAACCCTCCTTGCTTTCTTCCAGCCAACGTGGAGATGGTGCAGGAGGTATAGGTTCTATCCAGCAGGAAGCGAATACTAAGTGTAACAAAATGCAAACACAGAAGGGTCCTGGGTCATTAATGACTTAGTTGAGTTACAGTAGTTCCATGCATCTCATATGGATGTCCTGGTTTGGCTTTGTTACACACACACTCTTTCTCTCTCTCTCTCTCTCTCTCTCTCTCTCTCTCTCTCTCTCTCTCTCTCTCTCTCTCTCTATATATATATACATTTAAACATTCACCAGAAATATCAGATACTCTCTTCTTGGAGGTTAGTATGTCCCTAAGTAGAATAAAGAACACAAAAAACAAACCCAAACACCTTTCACTATCTCCCCAAACCAAAAAAAAAAAGTCCCTCAGAAAAACAAACTACCTAGTTCTAAGGCCTGTGCAAAGGGACTTATTTACATGGCCAATACTGTTGCCATCTTCTTTTTTGCCATTTCACAGATAAGACAACTAAAGGTTGGGGAATGAAAGCAACTTTAACCAAGGTCATACAGTAAGCTGCTAAAAGCTGGGGAATAGAGCCAAGAGCTCTATAATCCCAGGCAAGGCCTTCTCTGCTCTGTCTCTCCCACTCAGTTGGGAAAATGTCAAAGGATTTATCAAAAATAGCCTGGAGCTAGATTAGGTATTTTAATACCCAAAGCACTTAATTACTAATACAGTTTAAGGTACATTAACCTAATTGGAAACTTTCTGCATATGGTACAGGCTTTTTTCCCTTGAAAAAAATTAATAGTAGTTTTTTTAAACTTTCCTATGAATCTACTTCATCTTTATGTGCTATTACTGGTTTCCGAAGTTACAAAAAATACCAGTGCCAAGAGTTGGGCTAATGTTATTTTCTCATATAAAGGAAGAAAAAATAAAATAATAATAAAAAACAAGAGGAAAAGGAATGATAAAATTTTACCTGATTATTGTGAGTCTTGCTATTTATTGTGCTAGGTAGCTGGCAGAGTGCCAACATCAGAACTCAGGGGTCATCTTTGGCTACCACTTCTCCCTCACATACCACACCCAATCAGCACCCTACTGCTGCTATATCTAACCTTTGTCACCATCTGCAGCTTCTCCTCTGGATCCCCGAGATGGCCACCTCACCAGTCTCTTTGTCAGGCTCCAATCTGCTCCCCATGTTTCAGTTGGAAACATCTCATAAAATTCAAACTAGATTTGTCAGTTCCCACTTAAAACCCTTCAGGGGCTCCCCATGGCCCTCAAGATGAAGCTTCAGCTCCTTGGTAGGTTTCACACGCTCTTCATTACTGGTTCATGTCTCGTTCTCCACTTGTGTACCCGATACCTCCACCATATTGAATTACTTGCAATTCCCCAGACTGGCTGTGTTTTTCTCCATTCAAAGACTTTGCAGGAGCCTCTGGGAACTCCTTCTTCTACCTCCCTCTTTCACTTTCCCCTGTATCTTCTTAAGTTAACTGCTAACCATCTTTCACTGTCTGAGCACTACTTCCTTCAGAACCTTTCCCTGAGCATCTTCCCCACACTGAGTTAAGTGCCTATTTGTTCCCATAGTAACTTGGTATAGGACACACTAGGTTAGTGCTTGAAGTATTTGTGTATGTCTTCCCAGGAACATCCTGAGATGAAGTAATGTATTTTGTTTACTTTTTCATCATGGTTACCCAGCACAGTGACGCTTATAAAATTCAACCAATTGTTGAATGAATAAGTGAACAAAAACCCCATGTAAAAGACTAACAAGTAGGTGGGCTACCCAATAGGAAGCTGGGGAAAAGCTGGGAGAAGAATGACTTTAAAATTAATGAAGTCACAGAGAACTTTGTTCACACTGGCACTTGGTAGGGAAAGTCCAGGTTTGGCATCTGACACACTAGGTCAAAAGTTACTCTCCAATAACAAAGTCCAAATGGAGAGATCTGGCAGAGCAATAATCTGCTCCATACTTTATGAAAAGGAATGGTGTGAGATACTCTTAAAGATCCTTATAAGCCACACGGAGATTGAATGTGCTGAGGAGAGTTTCTAGGATCTTAATTGTACATGAAAAGCTTTATGCTCTTCTTTCTCCTCACCCTCTTCTCCTTTCCAGCATTCCTCTCTGTTAAGGTCATTACCCTGATCATTTTAAACCATAGGTACCTGCAGAGCCTACTTCTCCTTCATAAGCCAGATAACTTCATAAATTATCAACACACAGAAAACTTGTGGAAGCTAAAACTGACATTTTACTAGAACCTTATGTATCAAGAAACACTAAATGGGGAAGCGATGACATTTCTCTGCACTCTCTTCTAATGTACCTTGTTACCGCTAAGTAACAAAGTAGTTTGCATAGTCTGTACTGATGTTCACCTTCAGGGAGCACTATCTTAAACACAAATGGGAGACCAGCATGGAAACATCACACCCTTTGCACTTTCATAGTCTATGCTCGTCATTTACATAGGCACAATAGCTCATGAGGCTGCCTCATTTCTTACCATGCCCTTGGGGATGGCAACTCATGGATATATCAGGCTGTGGTGATCACAGTTCTGAGAGGTCAACTTCAATGTCAGGAAAGTTGTGGGCGCCTCTGAGAAATCCACTATCTAGAACTGTGATCTGAGCATAGGGAGGACTCCATGTTAAAGTGAGTCAATGAATATGAGAAAGCCACATATGTGTTTGGGATAACTGTCTTCTCTGTGAGCTTAACTTATCCATAGTGTCCATAGCCAATATAGGACACGAGTTAGATTATTGGGAGGTAGTCTTCCACAAATATCCCAAAAGACTGAGATATAATCCAAATAAATGATTAGAAGTCCTTTAAAAGCAATATAAAAATAAAAAAAGAATGAGAGTGGTAGCTGCAGGGGTACACAAAGTCTTTCTGTCTAGAATTTGGTGAGGTCTTGCATTTCAGTTGCTCAATAAGCATGTATTGAGGGAACATAATGTTCCATGCTATGGATATTGAAAAGCAAATAACAGTCTCTGCCTTTAAAGAGCTTTCTCCCTACTGCAGGTAATGAGAAATTCACCCCCCGCCCCCCCCCACACACAAAGCCAAATAGAGTAAAAACATTGCATAAGTGAAACAAACAAATATAAAGGGAATCAGGAAAAGGGAAAATGGCTGCGGACCAGGATCACACAGCAGGGTCTCTGGAATGCCTGCCAGAGACCCTGTACAAGTGACAGAGTTACCATTAAAACTCAGCAACCTGCACTCTTTCTCCTCACTCTCCTCATACCAAGACTGAAGTTTAACCTGCTCTCCTTGAAAATTCCTGTGGCAGTCACTAAAGAGCATGTGGAAACAATGGCCAACTTTTACTAACTTCTTTAATAGAATTTAGGGATTCTGGTTATTCTATCATCTTTTATTTTCCAATAGGACCAAATCACTTCCACTTGAGGAAAAGTTTCAGCCCTCTATCACAGTAAGCATGTCTTTTTCCCTTAAAAAGTATTTACAAATGATCCCTAGGTATGTTTATGCTTTTTTTCCTCCCTAAAGTTACTATGTATTATTTTCATATGCAAAGGACAGATGCTACTCATAAACACCTAACTTTATCAACCTAATTTGAATTTTCCCCCATCTACTACATAGGGCTACTGTGTGCTTTTACCTTCTGTCTGCTTTATTTTCTGATTATGCTTAAATGTTTTGCCAACCTTGGGAACCAATTGTACCCTAATCATAGGCTTTGTTGTTTATCCCTCTCTTGTAACGTTCCCTCATAAAAACTATTAAGCATTCTGCTCTCTCTCTTCAAATCTCTTCTTTCCCTTCTGCTCCCAACTCGTTTGTTGTAAAAGTTTTGCTCCACACAGAGGATTTCTTATCTTACTATTCTTGATGTGTGTGTGTGTGTGTGTGTGTGTGTAAATGTGCATGAGATTGAGAGAATTTTTCATCTTTATTATTTTCACGAATGTACAGGGAGTACAGGGTACTCACTGCTCTTGGCATTCTACTATAAACTGGCTTTCTTCTAGGCTTGTGTTGGTAAGGTTTTTATGGGTTATTTTTCCTACCATTTCCGTCCATGAATACATACATGTAGAACAAGCACCACACACACACACAGAGACACATACACATACACATATGCACAGACACACACACACACACAGAGCCTTTGCTTAGGGGTAAGAACTGAGTGAGAATTGATTGAAAAACACTAATGAAGTCAGCATTGTTATGGGAACTAAGAAGAAGCATTAGAGCTGCAGAATGTATTTTTGTTCTTTATCTGTTTGATGTCTTAATTTCTTCTCTTTAAAGGAGGGCTAGCCATGGTACCTGCCTCATAGGATGCATGCATTAATATGCAAAGCGCTGAGAACAAAGCATGTTGTGAGAACTAGGCAGGTGTCTTGTAAATAGATGGCATATAAATCAGAAGTCTAGTGCCCAGCATACCCCCATATGTGTTCTTCAATTTTTTTTTTTAATTTAAGCAGGTACAACCTATTTAAACCTGGATAATGCCTCCCATCCTGAAGTTGGGC